GTACCCATTAATGCTGAGCGCCAGGCAGGGACCAACAAGTACCATATTTTAACGTCTTTTGGTATGACGCGGTCGGGGATCGAACCCGCGACCTTCCGCTCTCCGGGCGGACGCTCTAACAACTACACCACGGAGGCGGTCCACAGGTTTATGACATATTTGGTATTCAAGATATTTTTATGAAATATTTTAAACAATATGTAGATATTCTTTTAATGAATTCCGAATATAATGCAGGATACATTAAGTTCTAAACTGCATCCAAATGATCTATGCATGTTCTGTGATGAGACAAATGCAGTAGTGTGATATTACATGGAAATACATATATTGTAATAACAAATCAATCACTCAAATGAAAATTTACATAAAGACACATGATATGTATTGTGCTTTTTTCACCATTAGTGGGATCGATTTTCATCCAAAACATGTTTGGAAGCCATGTGTTCAATCTTCATCTTCAATTTTAGATAACAGCAGTATAAACTGTCAAAGTTACAAGTCTTACAATGTCAAGCTCGTGTCCGATGTGGTATAATTGTATTGTTTTCTAATTCTTAATGTCAAGTATTAAACAGACTTGGAAGTATTCAATTTGGAAATTGTGTGATTTCACGTTAACTGACCACAGAAAAATGTTCTACTCTGTCACCTATCACACACCTGACACCCCTAGAGCATATTGGACTGTTCCAGAGCATATTGCAGAAACAGCACTTGATGTTTCTTGTGACGTCTTTGTTGGTGACCCAAATAAAGAACTTTTCATCCGAACATTCACCACTTATGTGAGTGAGTGAGTTGAGTTTTACACCGCTTTTAACAATATTCCAGCAATATCACAGCGGGGGACACCAGAAATAGACTTCACACATTGTACCCATGTGGGGAATCAAACCCAGGTCTTCACGTGATGGGCGAACGCTTTAACCACTAGGCTACCCCAACACGTGTGTGACATAATAACATGAAAGAATAAATGAAACAGATTTAGAGTTATCTCCCTTCCATCGATTTGCATTCGCAAAACATCGGTAATTTCCGTACATCATACATGATTCAATGTTATTCGAGATAAAGAATTACTACCACGAAGTACCAAATGAGTTGCCATTGACAGCAGGGTACATTGAAATGTTACTCGCTTGTAAGAGGGGTACATTGAAAATAATAGAAGAGCACTCAGCCAATCAGAAAGCCACATTTATGTGTGAGGTAAGATAAATACAAATGGCAGAACACATAAGAAACAGTGACTTAGAACATCCCTGTAATTGGGCTAATAGACGTCTAAGTTTAACCCAGGACAATACAACATTCATATTATTCACTCATTGTAAAAAGCATTCTACACTATTGGGAATTGGGAATTGGTTAAAATCTCATTATTGATGATTGGTTCATTACCACCGATCAATCATCGAAAATAATTGGTTAGCGTCATTTATGAAATTTGTTAATGCACAAAAAAAATAAGGAAAAAAATGTAGTTATTTTTGGGGTGTTTTGGGCAAAACTTCACATCTTTAAAGGATGACTAGTATGTTAGGAATATATATTTCTTGGTGTCTTTAAGATGAATTCAATCATGACTTGGAACAAGCTTGTAGTGCTTATGAAATGTAATAGATAAAACCAACCTAGTGAAAAATATTGTTGATGAAAACAAGTGTTCCAGAATTGTTTGTGTTCGATTATGAGAAAACATGATCGATTGCTTGGTCGTTTAGTCCCTGCGACCAATCTTCGATTATTTCAATTAATCGGACCACCACTATTCTACACACATTAATAACGTTACAGCTCTTAATGCATCTATTACTCATAAAAATCACAGTGTTACTCCATTCCAGGATATGAAATTATATTTATAATATTTCTTGCTCATTGTAGAAATGATCATGAAAATAAAAATCATGAAATATTTACAAAATAAACCAATCCTGTTGAAAATCTCATTTTAATAAGGCTTATATCAGAATAAGCTTCAGAGGTTTCAAGTAACTCTCACAGCAGCTTGGATATTAAATGGTCTTCTAAAAGTTTCAAGGTTGGGAAAATATTCTGAGACAGGATGAGAATCACTATCGAATAGAAAAAATCTACAAGCTTTATACAATCCAGTATACAATATTGTTCCGACTAAGGGGATCGGGTGGCAAGACTCGTTGACTTGATTGACACATGTCATCATATCCCAATTGCGTAGGATGATGTTCATGATGTTGATCACTGGGTTGTCTGGTCCAGACTCGATTATTTACAGATATAGCTGGAATATTACTGAGTGCGGCGTGAAACAACCAACCAACAACCAGCCAACCAACATACATTCAGTAAACTTTGACACACCTACTGAGTGAAGATTTTACAGGTGCTTCATTCAATGGCAACCTTCATGTTTATGATAAGATGTAATGGTTTCATACCAATAGCACTGTGTTCAGTCAAGTAACCTCAGCTAATAAAAACTTGTATGCAGGTTACATTTACTGAAAACAACATTTCATCCAAATTTGGATGAGTTCACTGGATAGCTCTTCCATTACCTGTCTACTTCCTTTACCTGTGAAGAGTCACTTGGACAGCAGGACTGAAAATGTCTAAAACTGTTTATACAGTGAGTGAGTGAGTGAGTGAGTGAGTGAGTGAGTGAGTGAGTGAGTGAGTGAGTGAGTGAGTGAGTGAGTGAGTGAGACTGAGTGAGTGAGTGAGTGAGTGAGTGAGTGAGTGAGTGAGTGAGTGAGTGAGTGAGTGAGTGCTTTTAGTGATATTCCAGCAATATCACAGCAGGGGACACCAGAAATGGGCTTCACACATTGTACCCATGTGGGGATTGTGAGAAACACTTGAATGGCTCTTTACAACAGCTCACTGTTGACCACACCCTCACTGTTGACCACACCCTCACTGTTGACCACCCTCACTGTTGACCACCCCTTCATGTTGTGTTATGCATTAAAGGGAAAGTTCCAATAGGATAACACTGTATGGTTACAGGCCGGGAGAGCCACATTTCCGAAACAGATAGCCTAAATTGATGTGGCTCTCACGGCAATAGTTACGGTTGCGTGAACATGGAATGTGGCTCTCCCGGCTATGCTGTCAAAACATGCTTAGTGATTCAAACGCGTTACCGTATTTAACAAAACAAGACATGTTTCCTCATAATTTTATTACGAGCGTCAATGGTTCTGTATTTCTTTCTTCGTGAAGGTGCTGTCGACTGGCCAGAAAGTCTCAGGACAGCAACCTCTGTGAGAGACTGCTCACGCTGAAATTGCTTCTGGACAAGTCTCTTTACCGTATTGTGCCATCCTATTTGGTTATTGTTAGATTAATCAGTTAGATAAAACTAAATCTAGTGACAGTCTTTTTCTAATATTGCGATGTCATTGAACGTGTTCATTTCAAATTCCTTAAATTAGCTACGGGTCTTAGATATAACGCCCCGAACTTGATGGTTTATGGAGAACTTGGAAGACAACCTATTCTGCTCCAAATCTCTAAATGATTAATCACTTATTGGTGCTTGTTGAAATTTTCTCATCCAAACAACAAAATAGCAGCTTTCATTCTAGATTGTATTATGGATGATGCTCCCTGGCTAAATCATGTGAAACATATATTTTGTAAATGCGGATGTATTTGTAAACCCCTTTCATTACACTCAATCCTGGATCATATCAAAATCTGAATCAATCCTGAAAGACCAGTTTTTACAATCGTGGACCAGTGAAATGAATAATTCATCAAAAGGACAATATTACCGGTATAAGATTTTTAAAAACTCATCTTCACTCGACAAATACTTACTGCTATCTGAAAATATTTGGAAACCTATTCTATATTTTAAAACATCTAACCATAAATTGCCAATAGAAAGTGGGAGATGGACGAATCTCGCATGAAAAGAAAGAGTATGTAACCTTTGTAACTCGCAGTAAACTGGGGATGAATTCCATTATATCTTTAGATGTTCATATTTTAGCCAACAACGCATCTCTCACCTAGAAGATACCTCTTGCTCCTTCCCTAATCCCTCCACATATAAAAAAATTGATGTCAAGTACTAAAATTTCAACAATCAAACACTTATCTAAATTGATCAAATGTATATGTCTAGTTTTCAGTAATCATTGCGTATATTCCCTGTCACCTTCTGGCATACTTTGTATATTCTGCATTCCATTTTATGTACTCATGTATCACCGGAGGTGGTTCCATTTTGAGTAATAAACTCTGAGTGAAGAAGCTAAACACCACGCTTGTGAGTAGGAAAGATTATTCGTTTCTTGGGAAAACAATATTATACAATGTGGTTTAGAATCATAAATAGGGATAGTCTTTTACCGGTATTGCTAAACACCACGCTTGTGAGTAGGAAAGATTATTCGTTTCTTGGGAAAACAATATTATACAATGTGATTTAGAATCATAAATAGGGATAGTCTTTTACCGGTATTGCTAAACACCATGCTTGTGAGTACCGGTAAGAAAGATTATTCGTTTCTTGGGAAAACAATATTATACATGGGGACACTCTTTTACTGGTTACGGTAATCCATTAATTAATCAATCTATGAGAAATGTGGATTATTCGCTTCTTGGGAAAACAATATTATATTTACACTCTTTTTACTGCTACAATCCATTAATAATTGAAATGTGGCTTTACCGGCAATAGTCATTTTTGAAATGTGGTTTTCCCGGCCTGACACCCACTGTATCATGTGATCCAAGCTTATATACAGATTAGGAGTCAAGAACCGTCAAGAGTATTTTCCCTGAAAGCAAATTGTAAGTAACTTCATGTTTTCAACACATTCATTGACAAAATACATATTAACACAGCAACTTCCCACAACTATGCCGATATGAACACAACATATCTTTATGATTAGATTTAATAACACATTTTCATATTACAGACACATTGTTTTGATATCCCACCCAAATATATATGTAAAGATGTATAAAAATATAAGAATGCTAACCTTTAATTTGCTTGTAATATGTCTGCAGGGGAAGTGTATTTCACTGATGGCTTCAGCCATTGAAAAGAAGTCCCTCCGATTTCTACGCTGCAATGCCGTCACCACAACGATGGTCACTTCAAGTCAAGAATAAACACTCCATGATAGGCACAATGTTCTGAACAATAATCACACTCTTGATTATTATTCACAGTGAACTGGCAACGCTGATCATTTTCAAGTTCTGGTTTTCAGCAATGTAATTTGATCTGAAAGAAAATCAATATCAAACACTTCATGAAACAGACAAACATTTATCAAAATTTTAATGTTTTCTGCCATATATGTACATATTACACAAAAATGAATTTTCTTGTTCCATATTGACAAACTGTTTATGTCATTGGTCACTAAAATGTGCACTGAAAATTACAACACAATATAATAAATATATATATATATATATGCAACATACATGTCAGTCAATGCATATTTATGACTAGATTACATGAAAAAATCAGAAATCTTATGCTTAGACACAGGAATGGTGGAAATATCCTCGCAAACCTGTTTTCTCCAGATAACATTTCAGGGCATGCTATATTTAATAAATAACTGCAAATTATAAAATACCTGCTGTTTTCTCCTGTTTTTAGTTTCAACTTAAATAATCTCATCACTTTATACTGCTTTGTTTAGCAATGTAAGATCAGACAGGGAAGGGAGGTAACTACTGTTAAGCATGAATGGAAGGACTGCGATGGCTTTCAGACAGTTTGGCCTTTTTGCAATGCACAGCAAAAGAGAGATTTTACCATGGCAACATAAAATTACAGTGATTCTGAATTATATGTTCACTTACAAACAATATAAATTCATTTTGTAACACTAAGTTGAGACCTGCCATTTAGATTGATGTGTCAACTATGAATAATTCAGTTTGAAGTGAGTGAGTGAGTTGTGAGTATGGTTTTAAGCCGTTATTAGCAATATTCCAGCAATATCACAGTGGGGGACACCAAAAGTGGGCTCCACACATTGTACCCATGTGCTGAATCGAACCCGGGTCTTCGACTTGACAAGCTTACGCTTCAACCACTAGGCTAACCCACTGCCCGATAAAGTTTGGATATGTCACACAAATTGTTGAAATCATACAACATTTTGAATTCTAAATTTCAATATATTGTGCTGAAATGTCATTGTACGCAGCTTGCTTAATATCAGTTATAAAATTATGCAATTTCCTATTCCCTTAACCTTTTAAGGTGGTACTGGTGGCCAGTTCATCATATGAGCACTGTAAGTTATTATTCAGAGTTGTCTCCCTTGAAAGACCAACATCCTATCAATGTTGGTTTGAATCCCAGATTGCAGGTGTGTTTCAAGGTTTGTTTGCACCTTACCTGTGATGGAGGATTTAAACTGTAGTGGCAAAATGTTTTAAACCTGCATCATTTCAGGCATAGTACCAGATCGACCAAATAAAACTGGTGCATGCATCGGATGAATAATATTACTGACATATTCGTGCCCTACCAATCCTTGCTGCAAGGCTGGACTGAATGATAAGTTGGACGGAAAGTAATTGATGGCAGGTGGTGGTCCCTGGCATCTTCCAGCACTGTTCTAGGTTCAATCGGGTTGTCAGGCTTGCTGGCTTGGTTGACACATGTCATCGGTTCCCAATTGCGCAGATCGATGCTCATGATATTGATCACTGGATTGCCTGGTCTGGACTTGATTATTTACAGACCGCCGTCATATAGCTGGAATATTGCTGAGTGCGGCGTATAACTAAACTCACTCACTCACTCTAGGTTCAAGAATGGAGACAGACTTCTTTCAAGGCCTTAAACAGTGACAAAGCATTGCAATGTTTTAATGACTTAGATCTACTCATAAGTCCTTGTTTTGTCAGAAATGTTCAAATTGATGTCTTTGTACTTACAACTGATAGCATGACTGTCGTTTGTGCGAACTCTTAATTTGCTTAAGTAAGTTCCCACTAGCCATTAAATCAATAGCTTCCTTCAGTGTGGTAATTGTACCAAGCGGGTGTTGACACATAAAGTTATCAACTGTTTACCCTTATATAGGGCATAGAGAGAAATGTCTAAATATCAATAGCTCTGTTGACAGTATGCATAATAGTTCAATAGTGGTAATTAGTCATAAATATAACATAAAATTATGTGAATTTCAAACCTGTGTGTGGGTTGGTTCGGAAGGATTATGACATCTTTAGATTCGAGTCACATCAATATGAGCAGCTGCAGAGAAGATCAAGGCAGGCACTGACATTGTTAGCAAGTCTTCATTGCATGTATTATATTGATTTTTGTTACTTATCAAGTACATCATCAAGCTGGTTTACTGCAATACTTTAGCAATAGTTTGAAACTATTGAAGCAATAGTGTTGGGTGCTATTGCAACAGAATCACAATCGGGGAAAATAGCCGTACTGGTCATCCCTGTTTAACCATATTTGATGTGGTATTGCAACAAAGAGGATCTTTAGAGATAAACCAATAGTTGAGTCTCCAGTAAATTATATCTTTAATATTTTAGTGTGTCTAGTGCTAAAGGTGTAGAGTACAGAATGAATTGTGATCCCTATAGCCCAAGAATGAATAAGGTCAATACAGTTTAAGAATGAACTGTTTTGCTTCAGTTCCAGAATGAATTGTGTCGCTTAACAGCCCAAGAGCTAACAGCATCACTTCAGCCATAGAATGAAATGCTTTGCTACAGTTCTAAAATGAATAGTGTCGCTTAACAGCCCAAGAACTAACAGTGCTTTTGCAGCCAAAGAATGAACTGTTTAAATAGTTCTAGAATGAATTGTGTTGCTTAACAGCCCAAACACTTTATTGCTGCAGCCAAAGAATTATTAAAAATGAATTGTGATGCTACAGTCTAAGAGCAAATTGTCTCACTGCAACCCAAGAATGAATTAGCAATAGGTAATTCAACTTTTCCTTTAAAGGGCAAGATACAGATAATTCAGGGGGGACATGACATACCTTGACTGTTAGCCATACAAATTGGGATGCTTAAATCACAAAGTTGAGAGTATCCTAAAGCACAATTTGCATTATTTTCCGAAAAGTCTATACATGTTACATGTCGTGCAGCTAAAGAAGGTTGTTTCTGTTTCAAGCAGTTTGACATTAACTCAAATCACTTGTAATTAATAATCACTTTAATATTCCCACACAGTCACAACAAGTGTTCTGTTTCAAGATTCGCAGTACGATAATGTTCACTTCAGTAATCATCCCTCCACTTTGCAAAACAGATTTGAAAATCAATACAGACTTAAAACATCCGACTTGAAACATGCGTAGGCTGTATCTCGTGAATCCCGACATCTGTAGGCGTATTGGTTAACGGTGAGATGAAGTCAAGAAAATAAGAGAACTGTAGCTAGTCACCACGACGCAGAGTAACCAAATTTGATCATCGATGTTCAGAGATGACATCAGCATCTCTGAAATCTACAGACCTCAAAGCAACTTTGGATTAGGACGACTTCTTTTTAGACATGAAGCTTAAACAGCAGAATCGAAATACATTTTTCAATTTCTCACGGTAAATCTGACCTTTAAATGCATTGGACAACTTTCAGAATGCCTTTAGAAAATTTGTGCCTTTTGGTGTGTTGGGAACAGTGTCCCAGTTTGTTTGGGTTTTGTTTATTGCTGCAATCAGCATTATCTAAACTATACAGCGGTCTGTTACTATTTGTGTCTTGACTATATAGTCTAGTGATCGATATTATGGGTGAAAATCTATGCTGTTAGGTAAGGTGATATGTTATCAACTGGGCCAACGATACTGACCACCCAATCCACTTTGTCGCCTCTTACTACCAGCATAGTTTTCTGAGCACTTTTCTAACCCGAAATTTGCATTTGAAAAATTATGTGTCTAGTGAAATATGGTACACCAATAATCAAATCCATTTGCATGCAAAAAGAAATTGTGAGAAGTTATTATCATGTACACACTGTGTCACTCACTGTCAAAGACTTTACCTTCCAATATATCCCAATACTTATGAGTGAGTGAGTGAGTTGAGTTTTACGCTGCTTTTAGCAATATTCCAGCAATATCGCGGTGGGGGACACCAGAAATGGGCTTCACATATTGTACCCACGTGGGGAATCGAACCAGGGTCTTCGACATGATGAGCGAACGCTTTAACCATTAGGCTACCCCACCGCCCCTACAATACTTATGAAAATATATAATAAATAATAATGTCTATTTATACTGACTGACTGACTGAGTTTGGTTTTACGCCGCTTTTAGCAATATTCCAGCAACATCGCGGTGGGGGACACCAGAAATGGGCTTCACACATTGTACCCATGTGGGGATTCGAACCCGGGTCTTCGGCGTGTCGAGCCAACGCTTTAACCACTAGGCTACCCCACCCGCCCTGTCTATTTATAAGCGACTTGTCACAATACATATTACTGTATCAGAATATATTGCAAAATATTGTTTTTGCAATTTACAAACCTAGCAAGTAAACAAGATAATAATCTGGTCGCATTCAATCAGTGTATGCGCTACAATCAGCGATGCCGCAAAACAAGTGAAACAAAACAAGTACGCAATTATCAACGTAGTTCACTTGCCGGTCAGTAAGGGTTGTTGTTACAATCAATCAATCATCTCTGTCCTTTCGGACGCTAGCACCCATAGAATCTTTCATGTGTCTTAGTTAAGTGTGTTTAACACATCAGATATAGGTGTTTGTTCCCATGGCAACGATTCACATGCTTCAATTTGTGTTTGACATACAGAACTATGACATTGAACACATGTATATATGTAAATAACCTTTTGTTCCTTCACTTTTTCTACATAAAGCCTACACATGTTTTCTCATAATCAAACACAAACAATTCTGGAACACTTGTTTGCATTAACAATATTTTTCACATGGTTGGTTTTGTCTGTTACATTTTATGACCACTACAAGCTCGTTCCAAGTCATGATTGAATTTATCTTAAAGACTCCAAGAAATTAATGTTCCTAACCTACTAGTCATCCTTGAAAGATGTGAAATTTGCAAATGCATTTTGTGCAATTTGCAAAAACACCAAAGAACTACATGTTTTTGGGGGTGTGTTTTTTGTCCATTAACAAAAATAATCAGGAAAATTTCATAAATGACTCTATCCAATTATTTTTGATGATTGATCAGTTGTAATGAACCATTATATCTGAATATAATGTGATGGAGGCTCATATTGTTATCACGGAATTGTCTGGTCCAGATTCAATTATTTACACTACCTGCAGTGATGTGAGAGGCATGGTTCACCCCTGCTGTTTGTTCACATTAAGGAATGCAGGTTACCTGCCCTTGGTTAAATCCAGCATATGCATAGACCTTGGTTGTAAACCACCCTGACATGAACCAAAAACAAATTTAATTTTTATCCTTTAGAAGTATGCCATTAATAATTCAAATCTACCAGCGGATCCTGAATACAACTAGTTGGCAGAATTTTCATCCACAACACCAGATGTGAGTAACACTGGCTTTGAATAATAATAATAATAATAATAATAATAATAATAATAATAATAATAATAGTCTGCTTATATTGCGCTCATATCCAGGCACATTGCCCTCACGGCGCTACATACATTACTATTCCCCGTCATAGGATACCATCATACTATCCGATACTTTTTCAACTCCCTGGGGGCCATACAGCCATGCTGCCTGTTAGGCACAATGAACTAATCACTCACATTGCCAGCACATCCTCACGGGTACCCACTTTACAGCTGGGTGAACTGACACAATGTGGATTTAAGTATCTTGTCCAAGGATACTCCGCAAATGTGCAAACCTCGGGACCTAAACCTGCCTGCCTCCACCGGGGATCGAACCCGGGCCTTCAGCGTGATAGGCAGAAGCCTTACCACTGCACTATTGCACTCCACGAGAATAAAAAATCAAGAGCAAAACAATTAGCAAGAAAGTTAAAAAAGAAAGTAAAGGGATACACTTACCGTTCCAAGACAGTTCCTCGCGCCTTCATGGTACAAGGTTCGGATGACATTTATCCTGCAACAAAATAATATATACAGCACATTTACAAAAGATAGTTCAGCATCTCTACTTGTATTTTAAAAAATATATTAATTTCTTCAGCAAAAAGGTTATTGATAGGAGTTAAAATAGGTTATTAGAGTTAATAAAAGTTATTAATTAGAGTTACTATTTTTTTTATTAATTTGAGTTAATATAGGTTATTAATTAGAGTTACTAATTTTTTTATTTATTTAAGTTAATAAAGGTTATAAACAACAACAGTTATTAACAAAAACAAAAATTATTAATTAGAGCAAATAAAGGTTGTTGAATTAGAGTTAATAAAGGTTATTAATAAGAGTTACTAATTTTTTTTATTAATTTGAGTTAAAAAAAGGTTATTAATGAGAGTTACAATTTTTTTTATTAATTTGAGTTAATAAAGGTTATTAATTAGAGTTACTAATTTTTTTTATTAATTTGAGTTAATAAAGGTTATAAACAAGAGTTGATAAAAATTATTAATTTGAGTAAATAAAGGTTGTTTAATTAGAGTTAATAAAGGTTATTAATTAGAGTTTTACTGAAGACAACTACACAATAGCTAAACAGTGCTTCATTAGATGGGAATAGCTGACTGTCAGTGTAATTGGCTTAGTTATAAAGACAGGAACACTCCAAGCTCACGTTTTTTGTATTTTACCCGACATCAATATAGGTCTTCTTTCCATCAAGTATGTTGAAAATATTTTCTTTTACAAAGAAAGCTTGCCTATCCTGGTCGCAATGTTCCCTGTGAAATTTCTCACACTGAAAAGTGTCGGGTACTATTCACAAATCATAGGTAAATGTGAGTGAGTTAGGTTTTACACTGCTTTCAGCAATATTCTAGCAATATCACGGTGGCCGACACCAGAAATGGGCTTCACACATTGTACCTATGTGGGGAATCAAACACGGGTCATCAGCATGACGAGCGAATGCTTTAACCACAAGGCTACCCACAAGCACAAGGCTACCCACATCATATATATATATATATATAGGCGCAGAAATTCAGATGAGCTGGGGAGCGTTTGCCTGTCACGCTGAAGACCCGGGTTCGATTCCCCACATGGGTACAATGTGTGAAGCCCATTTCTGGTGTCCCTCGCTGTGATATTGCTGGAATATTGCTAAAAGCAGCATAAACCTAAACTCACTCACTCACTCAGATGAGCTGGTACCTGCTGAATACCCTCCCAGTTAAGTTTTAGTTACTGGCACACAGATACACGTGATACAGTATCAATAAATAATAATAATATGTGTATTTATACAACGCTGCATTCCATACAAAAATGTATGCTCAAAGCGCTACATATAAAGGTGGTTGGAGTGCTACAAACAGAAAACATTTGTACATAAAATCCTTTTGAGGATATACAGTCAAATCCCGGTGAGTCGAATGCCGGTGTCTCGAATATTATGCATAACTCGAAGTACCTGTCGGTCCCGACCATTCCCTGTTATAGTTGTCATCATTTGAATACCGGTTACACGAATTCGTCTCATAAATACACATGATGACTCGAGAAAGAAATTTGGTCCCATGAGATTCAAACAACAGCAATCTTGTATACATAAGCCGAAGTCAGTCAATGAGAAGTTGATTGGTGTAGCAAACTAATCCAATTAACAAACCAGCGCAGCTCACACCTTTCCGCCATTGATGGGTGAGTTCAAAAAGGCAGATTAGTGATTTTACGGAAATCACTGTCTGTGCTAATCAGACTGGAACTGATAAGGTGTCCCTATTAGCGATATGGAAATCATTAGATAAACAAATGCTTAGGCGGAGGAATTAGGACTGGATCATCTTTTTTTCTACCCTCATAGACTTACCTATGTCTCGACTACACCGATAAGTCGAATTTATTACTTGGTCCCCAGCGATTCGACTCATCGGGATTTGACTGTATTTGTTAGTCAGTGTAGTAATTTTTAAAGAGAAGTGTTTTTAAGGCACATTTCAAGGAATCAAGGGATGTTGTTTGTCTGAGTTCGAGTGGCAGCTGGTCCTATAGTGTTGGAGCTCCATAACTAAAGGAGCGGAAACCAAAGGCTTTTAGTTTACGTCTTGGGATGACCATAGATGCTGATCAGCTGATCGTAAGGCTCATGATGGAACATGTTTTGTCACCAACTCATTGAGGTAGTCGGGAGCGGTTTCATGATAGCACTGGTGGGCTAGACTCTGGGCAGCCAGTGTAAGTCTCGTAAAACTGGGGAGATATGTTCTCTCTTGGACACTTTTTTGACAATGCGAGCTGCTGAGTTTTGTACTCTTTGTAGCTTTGAGATGAGTTTCTCTGGCAATCCATAGTAGGCGCTGTTGCAATAATCTAACTTCGATAGCACTAGGGATCTAACAAGTGCATGAGCAGCTGGCATTGTTAAGGAACTTCTGATGTTGCTGACATTTCTTAGCTGGAAATAGCAATATTTGCAGACGTTGTCAATGTAAGACGACCCCCTTCTACAGACTGCTTTTTTTGGTCCTCAAAATTTGGCTTATAGACGGTCATATACGGTAAGGTTTGAATCCAAGTGAAGCCCAAGGTCTTTAACACTGTTGGAGAATGGTATTATGGAGTTGCATATTGGGATTGCCGTTTCTGTGACTCGAGATCGAAGTTGTAAGCTACCAACAAGCAATGGTAGACATTAGCATATCACTACTCAATGAAGACGTTTCAGTATGAATACCTTGGTATCTTTTCTCATCCTCATCTGGGGCTGTGGGGTAGTCTAGTGATTAAAGCGTTGGCTCGTCATGCCGAAGACCCGGGTTCGAATCCCCACATGGGTATAATGAGTGAAGCCCATTTCTGGTGTCCCCTGCCGTGATATTGCTGGAATATTGCTAAAATGGTGTAAAACCCAACTCTATCAGTGTATTTCAGTCAGTCAGTCAGTCATCCTCATCTACAATCGCCTGTACCTTAACTCTTCTGGGGTGGTGGGGTAGCCTAGAGGTTAAAGTGTTCGCTTGTCATGCTGAAGACCTTGGTTCGATTCCCCACATGGGTACAATGTGTGCAGCCCATTTCTGGTCTCCCCCGCCATATTGCTGGAATATTGCTAAAAGCAGCGTAAAACTAAACTCACTCACTCACTCAAGTGTTAGTGGTAGAATTCTAAGAATTATTATCATTGTTGATCATGTTCCAGTTTGATACAGATTTTAAGTAAATAGCTTTGTTTGACTATAATCCTGGCTTATCACAGTGTTAGACGGAATTATTCGTAAGAATTCTTTACGATGAGTACATTAAGTCGAACCACCCACATACAATTTGCAGGAAGCAAAAATGATCATTATTTTACCATCAGGACAACAATAAACTGAGAAAAAATCAATGACCCCCATAAATTTAGGTACTTACCCCAATGACTCATTTTCAAGATGCCATCTGTTGCCGGGAATAGGATATTAACCAATCCGTATTGAATTACGCAAGTTAATTCTGTTGATACGCTATCTCATAATACACCTGTTTATTTATATCTAGACTGTGATCTGTTCTATCAATTTTAAGGACATTTCATCTAATAATTGTTTATATTTTTCAAATCTAAAAAGCGTTCTGGAGTCTCAATAGCTGTTTCCAAAGAATCACTGAAAGTGACTGATCTTTTGGGAATTGTGTAATTTTAGTGAATTATTTAAATGAAAGAAGAATTTCTTAGTTTTCCACATTAAATCTGACAAGATTCCATTGATTTTGTATTCAAGAAGACATATAATATAATTCAGTTAACAATAAAATCTTCTGTCAAGTGAAAATCATATAAAGAAACTTCTATAAAGCCTTTGGTCAATAGATCACTAAGCGATCACCTGTCACTTAATGAAAGTACAAGTATCATGAAAAGTGATTGACTTTTCTTAATCATTATTTAGCCAGAATTGCTGCCACGAATACTCTATGAGGCAAATATGATGTGTAGGATAAAAGACGACTCCGAGGTTTTGGTTGAGAATGTAAAACCTCAGGGGAAGAAAATCCTGACACTGAGGTTTTACATTCTCAACCAAAACCGAGGAGGAGTCTTTTATCAAACTTATAAACCGTCTAAGACAACAAAATTACATATGTATTATTTTCAATTTGTGCATGTACTGCGAAGAACAACATTGATGGAACAGCCCGCAAATGATGGAACAGCCAGTGTCAACTGGGATGCGACTGGCAGCCAACACCTTACCCCGCACACGCAATGCTCGTGCTCTGCATGCGCTACCCGTGTCATGCACGTGCGCTGCCCGCAGTACCTGTCTTGTGAGAAACACATGGTTGATACTGACAAACAATCTCATTCCTTACAGCGATCCTTGGTAGCGTAGTGGATAAAACCGCCAAGCTAGAGATCGATTAGTTGCGGGTTCGAAACCAGTTATCGCCACTAAATATTGAAAGTTTTCAATAATGAGATATTTTACGATCAGTCATAGCAAGACAAAGTTGTATCAGTCATAAATAATGGTCATTTCAAACCTCATATCAGGGTATGAGGTTTTACAACGACCATTGTAAAACTTCGTACCTCGTATGAGGTTTTACAATAGTCATTGTAAAACCTCCTGCAATCGTAAAACCTCTACTGAGGTTATTCCATAATTCGAAGCAACTGCAAGAACAATAGACAACATTGGCCATAGGTTTATAATTTGCTTCACAAATATAGGGTAACTATTACAAATATTTATCATATACCCGGTTTTTTATAATAGTAGCTACACCCCTGACAGTTTCCCTTTCGCAAGTCATATCAGCCTGGCGAAAGGAATACTGTCATGTAATAACCTCTTATTATTCAGGAATAAAAGTTAGATATCGAGAAATTAAATACAAACATATCATGTAACTGATTAGGTTGAAACATTTCAATGATATTTTAGCAAAGACAACATAGTGACAATACCACTTATATCCTCAAGAGGCTTGCAAAATGCCATGTGCTTCTGCATGAATTGTATATATTCAATA